TTTTTTTTTTGTGTAATCTTAATTTAAGTTATTTTAGTTTTGTAGTGTTCTTTCATTTTCATGTACTTAAAATTTATTACTATAATTTAATAATATTAAATTTTATTTTTATTGATAATATAATATAAAATTTATATTGAATGGTGGATAATGGATCCCATGTATGTATTTAAATGAATGTGTAGGAATGTGAGGGTGTTTTTAAATAGAGAGAGATTTAGTGGAAAGATGAGGTGGATGAGAGAGAGTGTTACTTTTTTATTGAATGAATGGAATGTGTGTTAAACGGTTGTAGATGCTCTTACACGTTCATACAATCGCTTTCAGATGCGTAATTTAGCTAAATATATAATCCATTACCAACTCTTGATTAATCCTCCATCGTTATCCCTCCTTATATATTAATTCAAAACGTGTTGAGTCTAGGTGGTAGATTTTCACGTTTCGGATGCTGACATAGCGAAAATCTATGTTTCGTGATATTGTTTTTATATTATTTTTGCTCTGGAGTTAGATTTGGTATTAGACATAAATAACTTTACACGTATATTCATTAACTCCACACTCATGTTGTACATGGGTATTAATACTAGTCTTTTTTTTATAGCATATATCATTGATTGCATAAAAGTACATATGAGTAAAAATTGCATTTACTTTTTGTTGAGTGACTAATAATTAGTTTGGATCATCTATTTTTCACATGTTTTAATCAGTATTATTTGATTTTTCGCCCCAACTGTTGTATCCGAGCATGTTACGGTTAGACTGTAAATTAAAAAATGTATTAGCCAACTAACTCATTTATATTAATATAAATAATATTTTAATACATATACTTATTATTTAATATAGGAAAAAATAATAACTTTACTTATTTTATTCACCATATAATTTTATTCAACTATTATTTATTACAATTTTTGTTTAATAATAATAATAATATTAATAATAATAATAATAATAATAATAATAATAATAATAATAATAATAATAATAATAATAATAAAAGTTATAGAAGTAATCTTTTTTTTTATGTAATTGTTGATGAGTTACCAAACTAATTATGTGCGTGTAAGTAGTGATTAAGTATGTAAAACATGCTTATATGAGTGATGAAAGATATCATCAATATATCTTTGCCGCCCTTGTGGTCCTACCCGGCTCGATTCCGGATTAGTCGGTTCCCATGTAGATCCGGAAACTGGAAGGTCCCTGTACCAAAAAAAAAAAAAAAAGATATCATCAATATAGAAGAGAGATCGGCAAGATAGTGCAACTGGGACGGAAATACGTATGTGATTGTATATATTTGAAAGAGTATTTTCTGGCTTTATTTTTTTGGTGTTTTTCGTATATAATAAATGCAATACTTATACAAAAATAAAGTAAAAAGACAATGATTGTCGAGGTCCGACACGTGTATTCATGCTAATTCGACTTTTGATGATGAGACCAAATTTTGGCTTTTGATGATGGGATCGGTTTGGGCGACACTATACTGATCGTTGTTCACACCGGCTAGAGAGATCGACCTTGAGAATCTTTTGGCGGATCGACACCTGGACGGGGACAAGTCGCCACTTGCATCTAGTTTAGGGCTTTGAAATTGATACAGGCTCCGAGTCTTACTGGGTGTGCCAAATCTATAATAAATTTTATTCCGAGTCCCACTGGGCGTGCCAAATTTGTAACAACAAATTTTACTCCAGTCTCACTGGGCGTACAAAATTTGTAACAATTAATTTTATGAAAAACATAAATCATTTATACAACATGATTTTATTTCGATCACACGTTTTAACGGGTAAAATCTATATTTATCTCCTCTGATTCTTCTCTTCATGAATTTGGATTTGGATCTTTGATAAGGATATGATTTGAAGTTTAAGATAACTCATTATTTTGAGGTTTCGAAAATTATATGAGTTATCTGAAGCTTCACTAAAGTTAAATGGGGCGATGTCAAGGAGAATACAGTGGGCCTGGGCTCTGATTTTGTGGGTTCCAATGTTAATAAAGTTAATCTTAAAAATATGTGGATATTGTACTGTTTATATCCTAAATCCCAAACTTAGTTGAAGAAAAACAATAATTAAACATAGAAATCCAGGTTTTCCCAAAATTGAAAACCTCAACCCCGACTTTCGTTATTTTTACGTGCATTTTATAGTGATTTTGCATTTCCGTCTTGTCGTAGTTTGATATACATGCTTTTATTTATTTAAGTATTTTATTAAACTATGACAAAAGTGTATTATTTTGAGTTTTAAACTAGACAGGAACAGGTGTTTCTAAGCTTTCTTTCCCTGTAATACCTTCTTTCAGAGCTTTAAAGAAGACACTGTAATCCTTTTCTGGAGGAGGATTTTCCGGGTCCACCGTGTATGGCTCGCTGAACGGGACGACACTTTTAACCTTCAAAAAGCACACGAAAAAGAACAAATTAGAAAGAAATGAAATTATTTCGAACTCTTGTGATCGAACTAGACAACGAGCGATTTGTTCTATTGATTTATCACTTGTGTTTTTTTTTTCTTCTTTTTACATTTATGTGTTTTTACGTTCATAATTTACCTCAAATGTCTTGTCACAAGCATATGGGCTTTCTAGTGCAGCAATGCATATTCGAGCAACCTCCTCCCGGGAGATCTTCCCCTGCAATAAAGTTATCGACCTTTTTTTTTTAATCTCATAAACACAAAACACGTGCTTTTGAATTTTTCATGATGCGATATTTTATACTGTTATGTTGTCTCCTTGATCAAAGATGAGATCAGCCCCAGCAGGTTCTTCGGTTAAAGCACACGGCCTCACGATTGTATACGGTATCCCGCTTTCTCTTATCAAATCTTCCCCCTGCAATTTTAAAATTAAAAAAAAAATGATACTAAGTAGCCGAATTCATATAGTCGTGCTATATTTAAATGACTTTTTTTTTTTCGAACCGTCAATTTGTACGTGAGAATGAAACCGAGTTCTTTGTTCAGACGAACAGCTGGAGGCTGCTTGCTCAAATCAAGGCCCGGCCTTTCAGGTCTAGTGACCCCAGCCGAGCTTACATGCACAAACCTGAAAAAAATCGAGCAAGTTATTGAAACAAACTCTACTACAAATAGAAATCTTGAAAAAAAAATAAAAAATTCTAAGCTCAAAAAATGGAACAATTTGCTGTAACCTGGGAGTGATTGGCTCTTTTAGATAGGCCCGTATGCTCGATACTGGAAGCTGAAAAGGGCCTTCCACAAAAGTCGGGTTTAACTTTCCATCATACTCGAACTTGCTGAACATGAGCTGGAATAGTCGTGAATAATATAAATATATCAATGTACTATACACAATAAAAATGTGAGTGCTTGAATTTCAAAATGGATATTTATTAATTTTATCATGCCTGCAAAGAAACAATTTCACTGGGATTGAAAGGCGGCGCATCAGATACTGTCCGTGCTCGAAATATAGGCCTCAACGAAGAGAACGGCATGCGAATCTTGAAATAATTAACCCAAAAGATAAAAAGAACTATTATTTGGTCATATATTAATACTATGATCACGGGATTAAAAAAAAAAAAAAAAAAAGCTAACCGATTGCCATTGGTCCTTTACTGTGTCGAACCCTGTTGTGTACCCAACAGTGTCCCAATCACGGCTAGTTCGAATAATGAGTTTATATCGACGACCGTCACCTTTAATACGTAATTCGAGACCCTCATATGCCGATAAATCCTCTGGTACTGTGAAATTCTGTATAAAATAAATTTATATATATTTATGAAGTTTTGTTTACGATATTAACACATGTACTGTACCGGCAAGGAAATGCGAACGCAAAGGACAGAGATAAATAAATGAATTTACAAAATTACTTTTGTTCTAATACTGGTAAAACCTCCGTTGTTAGCAGTAGAAACAACTCCTGAAGAACAAAAATGAGAAAAATGTTCAAAGCTATTACAGTAAAAAAGTGACACAAAAAGCAAGAAAAGAACATTAAAATACCTCTGAAAATTCCTACGGGTCCACCATTTTCACCTCCCTTATGATCTATGAAAAATGTACTCTCACTAACTCCTCCCATGACAACATCGTCCAATGAACCCCAAGCTAGTTCTCTCGATAAATTGTCTGTTGAATGCAATGGAGAAGTAAAGTTTGTAACAAGAAAAGAACTTATAAAACTATATAACCTTCATTTTCGAAGAATCTATCACCATATTATTCTCAACATTTTGATCATTGCATATTGTTGCTATTTTTGTGTAATATTAAAAGCTTAACTGCAAGAGCATACCTTCGAATCCAAAAACTAGTTTCCCGTTACGAAGTCCAACAGTTTCCTTAACAGCATTGATCAGATTTTTCATCCCAATGAACTCCACCATTTCAGGGGAATCGCCTTTAATCTTTTTTTTTTTTTTCACCAAAATAAATAAAAAAAGATTCACATAAGTTTTATCAAAACTTCTGAATGTTTGTTCACAGAAATAAAGGTGGCCGAACAAGAATTTCGGGTTGAGCTGTGAACTACTGACCTCAGGTTCAAAGAATTTGATTCCCTGCATACATTGATGGAAACATATCACACACGTGGAAATAATTATTGAAAAAAGCCATAGAGCTTTGGATAAAAGTTATGAAATGTTGCTCATCTAAGTTGAAACTGTATAAACGATACCTGGCTATACTTGGCCCTATCAGGAGTATCACCTTCTTTTGGGCCAACAATGACAGATGCGGCATTAATCACCATTCGTATGCCTTTAAAGTGCTCGGGCACCAATGTGCTTGCTTTTGTAATGTCCCCAACAATCTGTAGTGATATGCAAGAAATAAATAATTATTGGACCTTCACAAGAAGTTTAACTGGTAAAAAGAAAACCATAATCATAAAATTGTGGATTTAAGTAGCAATTGCAATCAGCCGCTTTTTTTTTTTCCTAAATAGAACTAAGAACGCTGACACTCGAGAACAATGCCTTTCAAGAATCATTTGATTTCTCTAAAGAAAGTGATTACAGAGATTAAACTGTTACACAAAACCCTTTTGGGCCATAATCATGAAGAAAAATTAGAAACTCCAGCCGGGCTGGGTCCCCGGCTGGATAAATTAATATTATCACAATTTCTGAAAGGAGCTTCACATTATCTTTAATATAAGAACATACTTCGGAAAATGCAACAATACCCATATCAAGCCTGGGGCTGGGATTACTTTCACGTCAAGAAACTTACCAAGTCAACATCTGGACCAAGCATTTTCCTTGCTTTCTCTTCATTTCTGACCTGAAAAACAGTGTTAATTCTCAAATGCAAACCTTGGAAGATGATAAAATCCAAGCTTTGATTTCTTTACACGCTTTCACTTTCGGCTCCATTTGAACTTGAAATAAAAAGAATATGAAAAAAATTACCAACACTCGAACCGGAATCCCCTTCTTGCGCAATATATCCACCACTCGTCTGCCAACACCGCCAGTTGCTCCTGCCACCAGCACAGTCTCAGAAGTCCCCATTGCCTTAACAGCTTCACTAGGCGACGAGCCGGACAATTTCTCAATCAGAAATTCGAGAAACTTCAAATATAAACAAGACCCGTCAGCTTAAATAGTGTAAACAATGGTTGGTTAAAAAATTGTGAGGAAAGAAAGGGCTAACAAGCAAGGCAAACCTTTACAGGAGATGGTGGCCCGTTAAAGAAATACAGCGTTTTCAAAACGACCGAGAAAACGATTCGAAAATGGAGATGGCGATGCGTGTAATTTAGGGCCAATAAATTGAACATCCTGCAACATCATAATTGAATTGGTAGCTCAAGATTTTGCATTTGTTCTTTTTTAATTCTTGCACTACACATACAAGGAGCAAAGCTCAACACCAATGGTATATATATGGCAGAAATAAACAAAGTTTTGTGCTAGTAGGCAATTAATGGAGATTTATAACAGAAATCCTATACAAAATAGGATATCTTTTTCCATTCTGTGACCAGTGACCACATAATATTTACACAAAACACACTTCATGCCCAAAAAATTACAGTATGCTGTCATCAAACATCTTCACAAACCCACAAAATTCTTGAGAAATCACACACACACAGGACATATATCAAATATTTCAAAATAAAATAAAAAATCCAAAGAATGCACGCTAAGGATTGGATTGGTTACTGTAGTAAGGCGATGGCACTCCATTTTTGTTCCCTTCTGTTGCAGAGAACAGCCGCGAATGTGTGAGCAAGTATATGATCATATTGATGATATTAAAATCGCTGGATTAATTGGCACCACAAATTCTTGAAATGCTGAGGTTCCCAAGTAGTCTAAGTACATGAATATAGTGCTAATTGGTCGAAGAAGGTAATGGCCCAGGAACATAAGGCCCAAATCTGAGAAGCCCAATATATCTAAGTTACAAAAGGAGCCGTATATTTAACCATCCTATCCCATGTTTTTTGCGCATTCATGCCTACAATCAGTTACTTCTCTTTCTCTATCCTATCCCATGTTTTTTGCGCACAATTTCCAGACTGACCATGGAAAGCATCAAATTTGAACCAGAACGAAAAAAAAAATGGGTATATTTGAGATATATTTTAGGTATATATCTTAGATATATTTTATGTATATATGGGTTCTGCCTTTGAGAAACGATCTGCTCGTTAAAATATCTCAAGGGTATATCTTAGGTATATTTTATGTATATGTGGGTTTTGAAATCGATTATGAGAAATGATTGAAACTCGAGTGTATATTTAAAATATATTTTATGTATATGTGGTATCGTGGACTTGAATTACGTGAATATCAATTGTGTATTTTATGCATATTGTACGTATATTTTATGTATATGTGTATTGTGCAACTTTGGTATATACCCGCAACGTTTAAAACCCGAAATATACAAATTTTCATATCGATACATATACCGAGAATAAACTATATATACCCACAACATATACCCGCAACATGTACATAATAGAACTATCTATCAACAAATCAAGCACACCAAGTGTTCGACAATTATCCTCTGAGAAGTTTTTCGTTAGATCAAATAGAAAAAAAGTATATATTAAACATATATTGTACATATACTGATCATATACTGCAAATATATTGAACATATACTTCATTATGTTCACGCGGGTTAAAGAAAAAAAACAAAAAAAAAAGAAAAGAAAGGGTAAACGGGATTAAAAAGGGCTGCATCATCTTCGGTGCACGACGCCTGAAGTCGCCGATGTCCACCGCAAGCCGCCTGAAGTCGCCGACGACTCCCGATTTCTTACCTCGACGGCGGACTATAAATGATAGAATACAGATCCAATTCAAGTACCGTCTTCCCCGCGCTACTCGCCAGAACCTTCCCATCAATAACGCCATTAAAAAGCTCAAGAAATTCCCAATCCACGAACCCGGTGGCCAGCAAATAAATGGCGCCCAACATGGACCTATTGAACACGACCTGCAAGTCGACGACCTAATTGTTCAGTGCCGCGTGATCGAAGATCGGGACGAGGCCTTCCTCGATAGAGGACCGTGATCGCCGATGACGAAGGATCAAAGTGGGGCTTGAGGAAAAGATGGACACGTGGGCTGTGCCGGTTTTTTGTAGTGAGATAATGGTGGAATATATGGAGATTGTGTAAATATAGTAGGGATATATCTTATTTTAAGTTAATGATATAATTAAAAGCCAAAAAATCCCGTAATTAACAATGCTAGTATATCTGTAATATTTTTGCTTTCGAATTGCAATTTTATAAATAAATCTAATTGAGCTGTAAAATTGTTATATAAATGGTTTTGAATGGTGGTGGGTGCAAATTCCTCTATAAACTAGGGGAAATTACACTGCCTTCAAAACCTTTTTTTTTTCAAACGATAAAATTTATTATTAATAGAAACACAAACACATAATTACAATCGGCTCAATAGCCGAATAGGGGAGGACTATTCCTACAGGTAGCCTAGACAACAACACACAACAAACCCACAAAATCTAAAAAACTCCACTAATGAAAAATACATACTCCCACGAGAGAATTCACACTCCTAAGGAGTGAGAAAAAAAACACTCACTCACACTAACAACAAAGAAACACAAACAAAACAAAACACAAAACTAAAACAAAGCAAAAACAACAGCCCTCCCCCACCGAACGAGAAAGCCAAGCTCCACCCCACCCCGGGCAAACACCCATTGCGAACTACCGAGAAAACCACGAGATTCACGGCACGGATCTAGAAATTCCCCTAATGGGCTAAACAGATCCGGACCACAAAGCTCGACAGCACCTCCCAGTACCTCACAGACCCGACCCAGGCCAGACCTATCCACAGCCCCCCCTCTCCCACACGCGTAAACTGGGCCACCGCACCACCGTACAGCCGCTGCCGGAGGACCCCACCTTCCAAACACCAGGGAAGACGGGGCAAGGGGAGAACCATTGCTAGACCGCCGCAAGGAGGCCCACGACGCCCGCCAGACAATAGCTACAAGATGCCACACGCCTTACCTCGCTCGCCATGGCAATCGGAGCATATCAGAACCACGCGACAGACGAGACAGCGCAGCAGCCGCGCCGCCGAGCCCATGAAGAGTCAGGTGTTCGCCAGAATTAGGGAGGCCTTGGCCGCCGGTGGAGAGGCGCACGAATTGACGACGATTAGGGCAAGAAGAAGGGAAATTGGGGATACGGGGGAGGGGGTAATTCCCTTTAAAACCTTATTTATTTGTACATATATGATATGAAACTAGTACAACGCCCCTGTATTATACGGGTGCTTGCTAATTTTTTTCTTAAACTTTAAATTTAATTAAAAAAAGTAGTTGAAAATTTAAATACCTTTTTATAAAAATATATATTATTATATATTTAGTATGTCACTTTTTATTTGTGCGAATTACTTGTGTTATATTATAATAATTTTTTTAACTTACAAAATATAACTCCATTAAACATAAATATATCAATTGAAAAATTATTTTATTTTTTTAATGAATTTTAATAATTATTATTATTTTTTATTATTATAAAGATAAATATAATTTATTTATTTCATATGTACAATATGGATGTCAAATCGAAGATCATCAAAAAATAATTAATTTGATATATTATATATGTAAAATCGATAAGGAATACAAAAGTTATCAACTTTTAAAATACATTTACAATTCAATAGCTAATTGAAGGAAACAAATCAAAAGTCAGGGATATATTAGTCACTTAGTGCTTCACTATGTAAAATTAGAAGTAATTAAAAGGTTATACTAGTACAAGTGATATTAAAATACCTAAGTTAGCTAAATAATACTTATGGAATGTCCGAACCTAGATTATTAATTATTAATATATCAATATTATTTGTCTAAACCTAATTACGAAGCCTGATTCTTCGCCAAGTAGGATTTCAAAGCACCAGAAACATCTACGTAGGATCAGCGCATTCGAGAATCTATGAGGATTTTTATTTTTGAATGTTAAAAATTTACACCAAATAAATAAACCAAGGGAAAAAATTTTAAAAACCAGGGAGTTTCAGTTCTGAATTGTTATAAATTATATATATATATATATATATATATATATATATATAAATATATAATATATCTGTATATATATATATATATATAATTGCTAGTAAAACAATAAATAAAAATCTTTTTATTTTTCCTCCATATTCTGTTACATTCTAAATTAATTAATTGTTTATATTTTTTATTTATTTTTTTGCATAATAGTTACTACTAAATACTAATTACTGATTACTAATTATAAAATCACATTAAATGGCATTCTATTATTTTTTTTTTCAAATTATTTATTTAAAATTATTATTTTTTCATCCAATTAAGTAAGTTTTTATTAGTTAATTATTTTTTTATGTCATAACTAAATTCCTTAAAATTTTGTAAACAATTGCTATAATAATAATTTTAATATTGTTGTATCTAATTTATTAGTTGTAATTTGCCAAAATTGCAAAAAGTACACTGTTGCAATTAGTAAAGATTATTATTTGAGTTAAATAATTTATATTTATATCGTTTATTTTTATTCATGATAAAATTTATAAAATTTGATGCCCATTAAATACATAACTATAACATATAAATTTGTATTTACATATGCATGTGCACATTAATAGAAATGGGCATTATATACTAAGTATAGTCTCATAGATTCAAAGGTATTTAAATCATCAACTTCTTTTGTAAGTTCCAATACTACCCATATTATAATAAAAGCTAGTTATATTATAATTAATACTATATAATAAGTACTTGACCATACGCATTCAGCAGCATCTATACTTATATAAAGAGTCATTCTATTTACTAAAATTAGTAGCAAAAAAATAGGTCAGCATTTAATGCAACTCATAAATAGTAGTTTTATTATTTTTGTTATTTTTTCTTTGAAAATCATACAACTTAATTTATTAAAACGCTTTAATATAATCATACAATTTAATCATAGAGTTTAATTTATAAAAATCATACTATTTAATTTTTTTCTTTAAAAATACGCTTTAATATAC